TTTTTTTATACTTTATTTTATAGGAAAAATGATCTTCTACCTTTCAAAATTTCAGTTGTTCATGAATATTTAAATGAAAATAGCATAATGAGAAAGATATTGTAAAGCAATTTAACATTTTTCAATAATCTGTGGTCTGTATTATAAACATTTGTTCTAAAATATTGTTTACACCAAAATCCGAAAGGAAAAATGTGACAAAAAGTGAAACTGAAGCCAAGAACAGAATAAAAAAGTAAATTGAGCTTACAAAATTGGAAATGTCAATAGATGTAACACATAAAAACATTCAATGGACCTGGAAATAGTGTTGCTAGAACAGAGAATAACATTGTTTAATAATAGATTAACAGCTTGCAGGTTCAAATAAAAAAGGTTAACATTATGTCCAAGTCTTTAAGATACGATAGATATACGTATTTAGATTGAAATAATGAAATAAAAAAATATTAGAGAATAGAGTAAAGTAAATCACACAGAAAATATTTTATTACACAGCAATTATTATTATTCAGTTTTATTTTATACTTTAATTTGTTGTTTCATTACAAAGGATTGATTATTATTCAATTTCATTCAATTCATTTTGCAACAAAGCACTGATAATTATCCAGTTTTAAATTTTTGTCTTAATTTAATCTTAATTAAAGTATTATTTTTAGAATATAAGCACATTTTCTTTATGAAATTCTGAACATTTTAGCCCAAAGAAGCGCTAGCCCGGAAGAGATATTAGTCTCGAAATGGCAATTTGTGTCTCTAGTAGACAATTTGCGTCTCCGTAGACGTCCATTACATTTTTAAAATTGTTGGCACCAAATATTATCGCCCTGTATTATATTTAAAGAAATTAAATCATGAAGAATTTGCGTGAGTATATGCATGTTTTTCGCATTGTAAAAAAACGGCGTTATCTAGAGCTATGAAAGTTTGAATAATGTAGTCTTCCATCCCAATATACTCACCTGGAAGCTCGAATTTGGAATCTGGAATTTGTTTTATTGGCCCTTTCACATGCTGTAAAACTGTAACGAATTTTTGATCAACAATTTCAACGATTTCAAAGAGAGCAATGACATTGTACGGGAGAAAATGTCCAGCGTACGAGACTGTCTATCAGAAATTCTAAAGCTATAATCTTTTTCAATTGTTTTCGCCCAAAGGGACATTAGCTCAAATGCTTTCGAAACGTATATGTGGCTCTAAATGAAAAAAAAATTCTCTTTGGGCGTAATAAAAATCTGAAAACTTTCAGATTTAATGTTTATTTCAATGAAAAATCAATCTTCTCTTATAACTGAAACACTCTATGTTCTTAAGTAACCAGAGTGTCTTTAAGTTAGAGTGTATTCGACGGACTAATCAGCGTGATGAGTGCTGAAGATTTTGAAAAGGTAAACGTACTCAGTAACAAGATATCAAACTTTTGAGAGCGATCTCTGCCTCAAGTGCTAGGTACGATAATACTGGGTGATCCAAAAGTTTCGGACATCAATCTTTCAAATATTTTTAAAATTTCAAAGATGTTACAGATTCCAAAATCTTTCAAAGACTTTAGAAATTCCATTTCCTGGAATTTAACAATTCCAGGATATTAATGAAAATTTTTTCAATGGATGATACCCCTTTACTCTAACAAATAACATGTCATTTGAAATTTCAGTTGCAGTTGAAGCTGTTAGTTTTTAAAGCCCTTTGTTTGGTCCAAGATGGAGATGAGTATTTATCAAGCAGAACGAACTTTTATGACTGAGTATTCTAATTAGTATTGATTCAGTATAACTGACTTTTTGGAATTCTTACAGTAAAGTTGTTGAAGCGTCTAAAGAAGCCTTTCCAAATGTTCCTGAGCTTAACAAGACAATGGTTTTCTGCTTGGTAACCTGATATCTAAAAACTGGAAGCGTTCACTATGAGAAATGAAGTGGTCTCTGACTTTGCCAAACTAGGACAAAATATACCAATGTCAGGAATAAACTGTTACAATCACCTATAAAATGTGTGGTAAAGATTACATCGAATTCATATTTATAAGTTGCAAAGTAATGCACAGTCACAAAACTCAGCTCATCTTGTAAAAATCTCAACTTCATCTTGTGTTAGAAAAATGTAGCTTTAATTGAAACTTTTAGTGTTGTATTACTTGTAATAGCATAGCAGCGTCCTCTATTGAAAAAAATAACTGCAATTAACATCCATTTTGGAATTTTCCCAGTTTGCTAAAGTCTGATATGCGCGACGTTTGGATCAGCTTGCAGTTGTCGTACATGTACGGTAGTACACACTGCACGGAAGTCAGTGAAAAATATTTCGAATTCTCTAGCTATAAATGACACAGCAATATTGTCTTGAGAAAAAGTAATTCAGATACGAATCCGATAGAAAATTAGTCATCCATTATAAAACATGTGTCGAAGAAAATAAGAATTAACAGAAAATTGGAGGTCATTGAATGCCAAATTACAAAAATTTGGCACCATGAAATAGATATTAAAAGAAATTATATACAATCAATAGAATAAGTAGCGAGGTACCAAAATTTGAAGAACACGACTTTTACCTCAAATGTTATGTACGATAATACAGTGTGTTCCGTATAATTCTTAACTGAATTGATATTTGAAGGCATTTTTTAGGTGGTTCAGAAAAAGAGTTTCTACACTAAGTATTAAATTATCTACATTGCATTGAAATGTTTTCATTAAATATCATTAACATGATAATTCTGAAAATTTGCCCTTTTTGAGTCTAATAATCTGACAACATCTGCATTGAGAAAAATTATTGTTAAGACTTTTGCACAGATGAATCATTTTATGTTATTCATACGAGATCTTTAATGTAATTTGTTGCGTACGGTTATTTATTTAAGGCCGGTTATTTTCATACAGCAGTTGCTATTCATTTTTTCTTGGATAATTTTAGTTCTTTTTGTTCACATACAGGAGCATGCTTTCCTTATTAAACGTATGTGACTTCCAGTCAGTTTTCCTTAACAAACTTTGTGTGTTAGTGGTCTTACATTTCCATTTCTAATCTCCCCTTAACTAATAGACAAACACCATATTGCTTTAGGTTCCATTTGTTGTCTGTGACACTATAAGGTTTCCGACGATAATGCTAATTTCTTCTTAGAATAGTACAAATGATTCGTAATATGAATCTTAGTCTTAAAGCACTGTACCCGAGTTAATGCACGAAATTCAAGCCGTACGTGAGACACAAAAGGAATCTAATTTAGATTTCGATGTCTCTTTCTTGGCAAGTTTCGAAGGAAATTCCTGTTAGATGTCCAAATAGAATCCTTTGAAATTTCATCTGTTGTAAAGAAAACATAGAAACCTATTGCAGGTTATATTTAATTACTTTCCTTATGACTATCATACGTCTTATGTTTGGAATGCATTTATGGGCTTTTTGAATTCTGTAAGCTTATTATTCGACGTATTAGTAGACAATAAGAAACAATACAAATATTCTTATAAATTTCAACTCCTATCAAGACATTGTATAAAATGATTTATAAATATTGATATTTATTAGAGAGATTATAATATGTTGTGAATTATCAAAGTAGCAGTAGTCTGTAAGATACCCTGATAAAAAGTTCATTTTTGGCATCGAAAAAAAGGTCCCATGACAAAACATCTGTCCATGACCAAAAAAAAAAGCCTTGTTGTGTTGAATAAATTTCGTTGTTAGAATGTTGCCGTGCCTTACTTAATTAATCTAAAATTTTTAAATTAATTAAGTGTTCTATTATTAATTGTTAATTCGTAAAAATAATTGTTGCTGTAAGTAGTTATGTGTATCGTTGTTGGTAGTTAAATAGTACTTAGTAGATATTTGCTCCGAAAGTGGCACTGACAAGAGTGATTCTACAAGTTCTCAAAAATAATAATGGGAGCATCCGTACTAAACATATAGACTTGGAATGAATAAAGGTAATAGCAGGTTCCTTCCTTTCAGCGAAATGCGCATTTCAGCTGTTTATCAGTCTGAAATTATTTGCTTCCACCAGTCAGTAATCGGCGAAGTTGGAGATTTAGTAGCAGATCTTAAGTTGGAAAGAAGTTGACTAAGTTATTTAAAAGAAGAAATTTAAAATTATTGCATAGAGATGGGTAATATCTACAATTAGAGATTCGAAATTCCCAATGAATGCTGAAAATGTAAAACAAAGGAGATAAAAGTGATTTAATGACGTTCTTAAAACATCCTATATTTTGTATTATCTTTTTATATTGATATTAAAAGATAAAACCTCGGGAGATAAGGAAGCTATCTTTAGGTTGCTTATATAAAAAAATCCTGCTGCGGATAAATTAGGTTCCGAATGTTTAGAACCTGGAATTAGCTCTAACGAAAAAGAGAAGTTCCACGAAGTTGCACATATTAAAATATATACACATATACAGCAGAAATTAACCTATTAATTATATAGTAGACATACATTAATGCAAAGAGCACCAATTTGCAAATATGAGCATGCCAATCCGTAGGAAAAGCTCAGATCGTATAATTGATGTTTTATGATAGATGAGCTACCTCAACAGCTGATTAAATTGTTCTATTGATCTAATATTTTATAAATTAAAATTTTCATCTAAGCAAAGTGTGACATAGAGTTACAGTTAATAAAAATTCCATTAAATGATTTATAATTGAATAGAATCTACACCAGCATATTACTTTTTATGAAATTATGCAATTATATTAAGTAAAAATTAAACTTCATATGCAATATTTATCATGGATTGTGTCTACTATTAGGCATACAACTCCATTTATATAATAAAGGGAATCCATTATCTCTTATTATAGCATCAAAACTCTAAACATTATTTATTCGCATTTTTACTTTGAATCCTTGAGATAAAATCACATTAATATTTTGTTGAATGAAAAGAAATTATCTATTTTAAAAATAATTCAGAACATTATTTCCGAAGTGATAAAATCTATAGAGGGCATAAAATGTTTAGCTTAAATCAACTTACTAGTAAACTCAGTAGATTCAAGCTGTTTGTTACCCATTCATAAGGTTTCACTGGTACTACCCAACATCTAAAACATTAAAAATATATGATTCTATAGAGAAACATTTTAATATTTAAATTACAATAATATTCACTTGCGCTTATAATAAATAAGAATTTTGAGGCACATAATACAAATTATTCGCAAAACGTCACGTATGTGATAGTTCAAACTGTAGTAAAATCCAGTCATGTAAAACATACTTTCAAGGTAAAAAAAATCTCATTATTTTCAGTCTTATAATATTCATACTTGTGTGAAACTGATATTATACATCACCGTAATGTAATACAGGAAGGCATCGTTAACACGACTCCCGAGGTTCGAAAAAATCAAGAGATAGCGTTAAAAATTCGTGTTAAATGGGAACTCAAATTTTAGTTCTAAAATCGTTTTTTAAAAATACTTTAGCAATTTACAGAGTATACATAAGTTCTATAGTATAACTTTGTATGTCGTCATAGAAAACACTACATTACTGCATTAAGTACTTTACTGTAACTTGAAAAAATTATACTTACGGACCATTTTCTGGTGACAAATTCCTGTATATTTCGCTATCACACGTGAGAACGAAAATACCTGGTAACTTTAAGGCCAGATGTATTTATTTATGGTTTCCGTAAAATTAACGGTCAATTCGGATGTTGCAGCAAAACTTTCTGAAGTGTTCATGACGTGTAACACTTCCTGGTGGGTGGGCGGATTGATGTCCATCTCATTTTCTTCTGATGACATTTCTTGGACATCAAACACAACTGCTTATACATTAAGTTCATTGGAGCATACGTACGGCAACTTCGTCATCTGTGCTAGCAAACTTCTTAAATCTAACGCCAGGGCTTTGTCGTCATCTAACTCGTCAACAGGATTAGCGTATTTATCTACTGAAACAGTTCTTTTCCAGGATGGGGCGATAGCTATTATGGCATCAAGCACACTCCAAGCTAGCGTTTCTGTCTTCATTTTAGTAGCGCTAATTGGAGCTCTCACAATTAAGACTTCTGCATAAAAGCAATAATACTTACACCCAAAGACTTATTTATGACTAATCATTAAGATTTTTATTAAGACTGAAGACGACTTGTATTTGGGGGGGGATGAAACTTTACATTTGTCATATTCAGATCATTTAAGTTAAGTTATGGGCTGTATACTTACCCAATGTCATAAAAACATGTCTATTCAGATCCAGCATTCGATTACTAAAATGAAGAACATACTTTAAAATGATGAGCTGTTGATCCAATCTTTGTTATAGTGAAATGGATTATGATTTATTTAGTGAATTCTAATTTGTAGTTATTGTTTATGTTACAGTTTACTTTTAGTTCTGACTGGTTTTGCTGCATTAAAATTTTACTTTTTTATTTTGTGACATTTTTTTTTACTTAAATACTTTTATTTTTCCGCTGATCGGAATGCATCAACATCACTCTTTTAACGCTTAGTTGAGTAAGAGTCGGTTTACACTAAGGGAGAATTAGCTGTTTCATATGAGAAAATATAAGAATTTGTTAGCTTAATTTAGCAGTGTTCATTATTTCATTATGTACGAGTAAATCAAAAACATTACTATTCTGTGACGTTACGTCGCGCCACCACGATCCTGAAAAGGTATTAAGAAATACGCATCACCGTTTTTTAAAATTCTTTTTATTATTGAATTTGCTTATATTGTGATGGAGTTTTATTTTGTGAATTTCTTAATTTTTATTTTTCTTAATTTACTTTAATGTACCAAACAATAGTTTTTCGAAGGATCATTGCTACCTTTCCTTTTCGTAATAAGTATTTATGTATATTTTACCACATATAACAAAACAAAACTTTACTTCTCTCACTCATCTTTCTGGCTTGGTTTTATAATTTCTGTTACGAATGAAATAAACACGGATTTTTATTATCCAGATGTTAGTTATAAAATGATTAATCCTCAAAGTGATAATCTTTAAATCAGCTTGTGAATGTTCTTTATTTTTGTGTACAATAAAGGGCTTCTTTAAATAAATGAATGAACTCTCCTGTCAGAAACATCTGTGGAAAACGACATCCTGTACTTAGACCTCGCTTTTGTAAAAAATCATGTTTTCTACTCTGAGTGAACAAATGGAACTCTTCAGTTTTATTTCCTATATATTTTGCACAAAATGGGAACCAAAACAAATACGAGTTTTCAGTTGCTCTTACGACTTATTAATAACATTATTGAATGATATTATAACCCGAACGATAGTAAAATCGAAACGTCCCCATTTTAATTGTAGAAGCACATTTTGCAACAGAAAAGCATTTCTCAGATCACGTATTTTAATCTATTAAAGGCCCAAAATAATGAAAATGGACAGCTTGATTTTGCAAAAAAAACTTTTCTTTCAAAGCATATTCCAAGAAAAGCACAAGTACATATGATTAAAATTTTATATTATTGCGCAATAAATTGTTTCCTAATTTATCATTCGCGGAAAGGATTTTAAACTATAAAATATAGAAGAATGCAGATCGCAAGTGCAGGTTGCAATAATAGATACATTTAGCCATTTTCGGTAAATTTGATCTCTTTGCAACCAAAGCACCTTTTACATGTAAGAATGTGTGTTTCAAGTTCAAAATATTTCCCCCCAGGTGATTAAGGATAATGATTAATACTAATTATAAATGTAGAATGCCATCATTCACAACAGATAGATGGCGCTGCCCGCTGTCGAAGAGAACACTTGTGTTTGGTGGAGAAAGGCAGACGAGGCCACCAAGACTAAGCAGAGATGTACACGTTGTAGAGACATTAGGTTATATTGAAGCAGGAGATGTGAAAAATGAGCAATGCTCTCCCCGGGACTCGAACCACGGACCTCTCAAATACGCGGCGAGTGTGCTGACCACTACACCACGAAGGTGTGCTAAGAATGACGCAGAAAATACTTTATATACTCCCTATTTTAAATGGCGACTTGAGTTTAGGGGACCCAGTCGCCAAATCCTGGTGGAGAAGAATCATCATTCACTACCTTTTAGTTCGGGCGCCACTGTAGAGACATTAGGTTATTTCGAATCGAGATATGAAAAATGAACAATGCCGTCGCCGAGACTTGAACCACGGACCTCTCAAATACGCGTCGAACGTGCTGACCACTGCACAACGAAAGCATGCTAAGAAGGCGTGAGAAATACCTTATAGCGTTATAAGATGAAATGAAAAACTTTTTTCTATTTTCATAGTGTGTAGAAATTGTTACTGTGTTCAATTAATATTCAAGTTAATCCATCAATTGGACTATTTTATTATTAGATCCTAGGCACGAAGTTCTGCAACTAATTATGAAATAAGTATCCAGCCAATACGTATTGAGTTCACAGCCCGCGATGAGCCTAGTATAGTGAATAACGACGAAGATTACGATTGTGGGAACGAGTACGTTTGTTTCGATATTTATTTCCATATTCTTACTTGGTCAAATAGTTATCGTTAATTAAGAAAATTAAGAATTTAATTCTAATCTTTAAATTCTATTCCTATTCTAGAAATTCTATTGCTCGAAACTCAGATTCTTTAAGAGCTGATCATACTATTATAGTTTATTAAACTTTTACATCAAATTTTACAACAATAGCTCGAGATGTAAATTTTGTTGTTTTCCATCTGATTGTAATGTCGCCGAAACGAATTAAAATTTACCTCAAATTTTCACTACAAAAGATTTTATTTATGTATGTAATTTGTTACATCTTTATTATGAGTCAAATTCTGATAAAAACTGTGATTTAATATTGAAGAGTCTTTGTAATTTTAAGATCAGAAACTGATGACGATGGTGAATTCTTCAAAAACGAAAGTGTTCGCGATTCTGATAAGGATGAAATGTATTAAGGAAGAGAGTTAAAGAAGGCAGTTTTGAAGAGACACATTTAGAAGACGAAATTCAGATGATGTTTGAGAAGACGGATTTAGATGACGTATCCAGACGCTATCTAAGAAGAAGCGTTTAGAAGACGTATCCAGATGATGTTTAAGAAGACGTACGTACGAAGACGTATTAAGAAGGACTTACCCAGACGACGTTGAAGAAGAGATTCCATGATGAAGAGATTTGAAGAAGATTCCATGACGAAGAGATTATATGATGAAGTTGCGAAAGATGACGTTTTGAGATGACCATGACGAAGAATCAGGCAAAACTCAGTGAAATTTAAAATTATCTTTTTCTCTCTGTTTTGTCTTTAATTTTGCAGATCTCCAGTAGATAATGATGTTATTTCCAACATGCGAGGGCATATGCATGAGTGTGGTCGAGTAGCTGGAGGATGTCATCTTTCACAATAGACAGTTAACGCAGCACGCTGTCTGAAGAGAACTCTTGTTTTTGTGGAGAAACGCAACCACCACGACGAAAACGAGATGTACGTGTTAAAAGGATGAAAGAACGTTTTGCTATTTTACGTAACTATGACAGTTCTCTTTTAAATATTCGTGTTCCTGTCGTCCATTTTCATAGTGTATATAAATTGTTAATGTCGTCGTCATTAAATATTCAAGCTATCTATGAGTTAGGCTAGTTTATTATCAGACACTAGACACTAAGTTCTTCAGCCATTTATAAAGTAAATATTGAGCTTATATTAATAATAGTGTGCAAAGTATCAAAAGAACAGTACGCTGTACGTAATGCTGTTCAATGGATATCATTCGAAATGCGCAAAACAAGAATGCACTGAGTTTATTGCCTAAACCATCTAATCTGTGCAACTGTTTTGTTGCTTTCAGTGAATCCTTTTTGTCTTAACGTGTCTCATCGTCTAGCCTAGCGACAAAAAGTAATGGATTATTATTTGAGAAGAGGAAACAGCTAATCTATTTAATCATTTGAAGGTTCAAATGCATATTTTGTACACTTTATGCTTAAACATTTTACTTAGAATGGGTGTTTAAACAAATCTATATTTTAAACTAAAGTGTAAAGAAATGTAGCAATTTACCTAAAATGTTCATTTCAAATGAAAACCATTACAGAATTTCTCATATATTCAATTACACGAATTGACATGTGCACTTTACAATATTACTTCTCATCGAAATCGCATGATTTTCGGCGTTTCGATTTTCTAATTAAAACATTTACGGCAAAATACACTGAACAAAATGAAGCCAATTAATTGAAATAAAAATTTTTATTTTATGTATGAAGAATTGAAAAAATGAAACTTACTGTTCGTTAGCAAAATTCCACCTTAATAGTGCAAATGTACTCACAGGGAAAATTGGGAAAACTGAAAAAGAAATTTAAAGGTTAAAATTCAATACGAAATAAAAGTGAAAAATGGCGTTATTTCTGCATATATGAGAACAGATATTGAAATAGTAACACATGTTTCAATGAAAATGATATAGAATTGAAATAGTAACACATTTTTCAATGAAAACGATAAAGAAATACTTGAATCTTGATTTTAGTTCCAATCGTCATGAAGATATTTTTGTGCGATAAATTTCTCTTCCATGATTATATTTTTTCCAAACATCCTGAACAAATACTTTCAACATGTACTGGTAACCACAGAAATCATAATTTATCCAAATGTTTTTTGATGAAACTATGGAAATGAAATATAAAGCATGCTAATGTGAGCACGCATTATCAGAGAAATCATATTACTTACTCTAGCGGTAAAAAGCTGTTGTGACTAATCTTGCTTGTCTGATATAATAACTAGCCCACAAAATTCATCGTAGTGAGGTGGCAAGACCCTTGGGCGCCATACAGGTAACAAGAAATTTTGTTCAATTTCGCCCCCAATTTTGAAGAAGAGCACCTCGGAGAGGAACGAGTCCAAAGGTCTACCAACCCTTCTTCCACAACCTCTCAAGAAGACTTTCGTCATGCCGCATATTTTGATTGCACCTATGCCGCACAGAGACTATATAATTACAAATATCCATGCCTTCTCTGGGATTCGAATCCGGTGGCCTTAGTGTACGGCAGTCAGAATCACTAACCGCTATTAGTGTAATGAATGATACAGATAAGAAAAGCAAATAAAAAATGGTGAAAAATACAAATGAAAATAAAAAATATGCTAGAGAATTAATCATGAAATTCTTACAGATTGTTTGGCAGAAATGGATCATAGAAAGAGGCGTGCTTATTTTTCAAAATATGATATTTCTGTAACCATGACAAGTGTATCTTAACACAAATCCTACAAATAAAACAAGCGCATAACAATGCATAAATGATCTATGTTATCGATACGCTTTCTCCGGATTTGGCACTATTTCTTACCTAATTAACATAAATATTGTCATTATTCATTTTTCTATTATGACATGGATGGAACATGCACTGACACATAATGGCACTTTTCCAAGAGGCTGAATATTGGATGAATACTTGCAGTCAATAGGGTTGTCAGCTTATTCTGGATCTTATCCTCTATCTTTATTCTTTAACAACTGCCTATAAGTCTTTGCATTTGAGTAGTCAATATCTGTTACCATGCCATATGGAAAACTTTCAACGTGTTTATCAGTCATCTTACATATAAGTAACTAGAACTAAGCAAATTAGAAGTTAATCACTATTTATAGTAATTAGATTTGTTAATAACCTCAACAACTGAGGAAATCAGTTGTTGAGGAAGTCTTTTCAGTTCGTAACTCTAAAAAATTCTCAATGAGATTATAGAAATTAATTAGATGCCTAGATGCGAAATTATGCTGATTCGACCACGTCCAAAAAATAGGTAAACCTTATATGGCGTGATTACAGTTATAATCTTTTCGAGGAATAAATGGACAAAATTTACGGGATCAGAAAAAAAATGAAATTTCACTGTTTTTACTTTTTAGTAGTTACAATGGTTATTACAGTGATAATAGACTATTTACTATGAATTTAAACAATAGATTAATATAATTTTAATTAAATAAATTAAATAATACGTTTAAATAAGTCTAATTATCACAAACATATATAGCAGCACGTATCTAAATAATTATTATACATAGAAATACATTTTGTTTTCAATGTGCCCAAACCAGACCTGTTCAAAATTATCTTTTTCGGAGCAGCATGAGTTTGACATACAATTAGAAAGCTTTTAGAAAAATCGAGTAATGATTTCTGCATGATAGTTCTTATATATCCTCTTCATAGGCATGAGGACATGTCTCATATACAAGAATCGATTATTTCATTTCCTCAAGAAGCCTCATACTTCATTATCGATTGTTTTATCGTAATCCTTTTCGAAGATAAAAATCGAGTTCGACGAATTCTTTTGCAATCGCATTGAGAGTCGCGGTGGAAGAACTGGAAGGAGACGCCTTTCGTCCACCACGGCTGAAGAAATTTTGCCGAACATTTTTTTTTTTTAGTCTAAGGGGGTGTGGCACCTTTGTTTACACCCAGAGCACTTAATCGGGACAGCTAGTGGTACTTCTATGCACAATTCCTCACAAATTGAAAAGCAGGAACTATTCTGCACGAAGAAACATCCAATGCTGGATTGCTAATAACAGTTTCTATAGTAGTTTAGTGGCATTTCGCACAGATCACATGTTGGTTACCTTTCTAAAAATTTGCAATAGCGACCTTGATTATTATTGTATTTTATAAAATTTTAAGCTTAGAATTAAGCTTATATAAATGTAGATTTTAACAAAATATTTATGTTATGTGTAAAGAATGATACATGCCTTAAGGGATTAAGGTAACTTAAAATGTCAAAATAACGCAAGCATATAACACATTTTAAAGCTCAAGTTTTTTATAACTAACTAGTATAAATGTAAAAATTTGTGTACTTATTTCGATGCCCTTGATAGTGTACTTGCTACTTTTATAATGGTTTCCAAATATTAACATATTTTTAATAAAATACATTTTTTTCATCCACATAATATTGCTTATATGCACTGCGCTCGGCATTGTTGATAAGCAAATCCGTACGTTCGCTGTCTTTTCTTTCTTTCTTTTTCCTTTTTTTGGTGCTGTCTTTTTACAAAATAGTAAAAAAATAATGCACATTTTAAATGATCGATGCTAAAAATAATAGAATTACATTTTCTTAGAAAGTAAATTTAAAATAGTTTTTCAAACTCTCTAACCCATCATTTTTTAAAATTAAAGTTAATAATGAAAAAATAAAGTAATTAATGAAAGCTCATTTCTAAAAATTTTTAGAGAGGCACGTTATCTGCTCATTTTAAACTCACTTAGGGTTTATATAATTGAAAAGTAATCACTTAAGGTTAAGGTTTTATATATATTAACTGAAAAATGAATTTACCTCGTATTCCTGTGCTCAAATTTCTGATGCTTGTGAGTTTTGATCACCTAGTTGTTTTAACTTTTCCAAGAAATAAAGCAAGACTGGAATGCACATTAGGGCAATCTTATTATATTATCATATGACTATTAAATTGAATAAAATTGCTAAAAGATGTATCCATCTATGTATTAGATTTTTAGATGTAGCCATGCTAAAAGATGATTTGCCAAATATACTTATTAGAAACTTTGAATTTAATAATGAATGTATACGGAAACATGTGCACAAAGTGTTTAACTACTAGCTAATATTTGCTATTCGGCAAGAGGAGGGATGCCTTCGTTGAGGACTTTCTACATATATATCTTATTCATATATATCTTATTCTTATCTTATTCAGCTCATATATATCTTATTCATGGAGAAAACCATGAAAACTAACCACGTAGCCAGCTCTTTCGCCTGTGATATGAACCTGGGTAGAACTTCTGATCTTTTTTTTCTTTTTAGTCATTCGGCACTGGTGGGCCCCTTTTATTCAGCACTTATACTGATCTTACGTGAAATATAACCTGCTTTTTAAGTGCGTATAAAAATAATGAAGTAATTTTTATTCGTTTTATTTTTATACATATATTTTACATAATATACTGACATATGCTTAGTTATTGTGAATTACTTTACTCGAAAACTACAGAGAAAATAAAGACTTGCATATGCCAAAAATGGAAAATATGAAAGATATATGAGTATTCCTTCATATCGTTTTTAGAAAATGTTTTTACCTCTAATTAAATAAGTAAATATAAATTAAATTACTATTAAAAGTATTTTTAAATGAAAGATTTATTCATTTACAAACTTATTAAATATATCAAATTACATAATAATTATAAAAATTATCTAAATATATAATGACCTGAACATTTAATTGTAAAAATTAATTTTATTCTCCTGACAAGTATTTTTAAAAAACTATTTAAGCAAAAATTGTTCTTACTGGAAAGCAATGTATTAAAACGTGCTGGAAAACGCATTATATGTAATGCGTAGTTAAGGATTTAGTAACGTAGAATTTATAGAATGTTTATTGTTAATTCAAGGGTCAAATGAAATTCCTTTATGTGTTTATAAGATTAGTTCCTTACATTTAAGCGCTTTAAAAAATATTAGTAAACCTTTTTTCTTTTTTTAAATTTTAATCCCTTCCTGAAATCTTCATACAAAGTTAAGAACACGGAAATCAAATATCGGCAACAATATGTAACGTATTTGAATATTAAAATTAAAGGTGCTCTAATTTCAAATAAACCAAACAGATCATTAATAATAGAGTTTTAATGACTATTTTTTTGAATGACTTTTGATTTGAAAGATAAATCAGAAGATGAAATTCATTTCATATATAAGAAAGCGTTTCAGAAAGAGGCCGAATAAATAGAAAAAGAATAATGCGTGATTTTAATGTTAATAATACATTAAACCCTGAATTTAATTTTTATAATCGCTAACCAAGTAAATTCGAATTATCTTAAACATTTTTTTCTAATTAGCAAAACTTGTGAAATCAATTTTTTTAATTGAAAACTGTTCTGAGCAGGCGAAAAGTATAGCATTTGATTTCGTTCAGAATGAAATTTTGTTAAAAATACATTTTTTCACATAGCTAGAATTCTGAAATTTTATAGAATATATATATATTTTATAGAATATATATATATATATATATATATGGTTATATTTGCGACGTAATTATAAAATACTTACCTCTAAATCTATAAAATCCTGTAGCTCATAAAGCTAAGTACAATGTTTTCATAAATAAAGTGTTTTCATAAATAAGGGGGGGAGGCGCTGCTTCAAAGGGAGCGAATGGCAAAAACCAATTCGGGCCTCACGTTTCCTTCCTCCCTCCACTGTGAGAGGTAAGAATAAATTTCCTACCTCCATGGGGAGAGTCCTGAAATGGAGCGATGGGGAGGATGGCTTATGTCTTGCTTCTGTCTCCATCTTTGACGTATGTATTTTCTGCTGCATGTGAGTAGGAAAATACAAATTTTGGAGTCCAGACTCAGTCTACAGTTAAGAAGACGAATAAATATTTATGTAGAAATAGAGACAATGCCAACACGTGTTCAGAATTGTTTGCAAACTTTTTTCTGCAACCATGTGAGGCGTGAGTATCAGCCGAGGGTAGTACTGGTAAATACTGGTAATCTTGAACAATACATCAAGGGTTCTCAACAAGGGGGTAATTCCCCTAAAGGAAAATGAACTCATTCTGACTTCATCTGTTTCCTGCTGTGCCATTAATCTAATTAATAAATCCAAATTAAATGTGCATATATATTTCTGGGTGTGAAAGGGAGGGGTATGATCTGCTAAAATGGTGAAAAGAGTGCTTGGGCGAAAACGGTTGAGAACCACTACTTTAAATTAATGTAAATCGTTTACCCGTCGATCTTATCTAGCGAATCAGATACTACTAGGACCCAGGAACCAAAACAAATTTGTAAAATAATTCTGATAATTTGGGTATCAAGGCCAAAATGCTTATTCATTCCAATGAATAGCTACATCATTTTCGGTGTAAAAGAAAAAAAAAGGTAAAAGATACTAATAGGGAAATTTTGAAGAGGCTGATAGATTGATCGAGAAATGATCATGATCATTGTTAGGGCTAGCAGAAATGGATGTTAGATATAATTCGAACGGTCGATGTCAAAATCTCTCGTAATAATTCATCATTTATGTATAATTTTCTCATCATGTATTCTGGAGATGCGTTAAACAGTGTAATTACTTACAGATTCTGTGTAAATAAATTTTATAATTAGTCCAAAGGGATTTGAATCCCGAAGGACTATTAGTTTCGTTTTGGCATTTTGCGTCGGACTCAAAAATGTCGGTTCACTTTTCAAACTGTTGCCACAAAATGTTAGAGTCCTGCATTATATTTGAAGAAATTAAATAATGAAAAATCTGCATAAATGTATGTATATTTCTCGTATTGTGATAAAACAACGGTACATAGAGTCATCGAATTTTGAATAACGTAATCCTCCAACGAATATGAGCATGTGGAAGACCAAATTTGAAATTTGAAATTTGTTTTATGATCGATTTCCTATTTTTTAAAACTTTGACGAATTTTTGATTAACAAACTCAAGGAATTTCAAAGCGAGCAATGGCAACGTTGTGCAGAAAAAACATTTTTATCTCCAGCGCGTGAGTCTCTGTATCGGAAATTCTAAAGATATGCTCGTTTTAAAACTATTTTGCGATATTGCTGTTGCATTGGATCTTATGGTTTAAGTGCGAGGAACATGATATTTAATAAAGAAAGGTAACACACAAAATGTTAAAAAACGCCCCTTAGGACGTAATTTAAAATCTGAAACATTTCAGATTTTGTTTTTTAATTAATTTATTAGTTTACTGCGAATATGTGAGAGACATTAAGTTAAAATTTATTTCATTAGATTGAAATCTATTTTATTAGAACAGGAATAATATATATCTTTTTTCCATGATATAAAATTTGAAAATTGATGTAGAAAATGGATATAAATATTAATAGTAAAAGATGAAGTTTGTTTTAAGGCGATGATGACAGTTTAAAAAACACTCAATTTCCAATAGTAAAGAAACGCTTTTTTAGAAAATTCGACCTATCTCTTTAGAAGGCTAGGATGTTTTTATAAAATACTCTACAATTGTACAATACATTTGTTATATTATACGGTCACTTGACTTTATAAGCACCGATTTTCTCCATTGGGAGCTGGTTTTTAAATTTACGCAAAAGAACCTGAGAAAGATTTATCGGTACCGACAGGCAGCGAATGGCGACTGATTTTGAACACATTACTTTCTCAAATTCTGTAAGATTAACAGATACTGAAAGGCATTCAATATTTGTGTTTGGAGTTTACGTGTACCGGAACTAAACGCAGATTTAAGAAAAATAGTCACGTTAGAATCAAACTGTATTTTAGAAGTGGGATATTATACATGTATTGTCTGTATGTATTAGTACGAAAACAGATAATTAAACAAAATGCTTTTCGATGCCCAAATTTCTGTTCGGCAGACTGTAACTTCCGTAGATTCAAGTGAGCGGGAAACTCAGAAAATCCTGTTTTGTATTACGAAATAGATGAGATATTACGTATGAAATTCATAAGTATGTGAAGATTTATTTAGTTTGACTGATAATTAATTTTTAGTTAATGCAGCATTCCTTTCAGTCTGCCCACCAGCGGCCGAGCGGTAAAGTCGCTGAACACTGGTAGTTCGGTCCGAGGTTCGAATCCCGCGAACGGGCTGGCTGCATGGGTGTTTCGTGGTTTTCCCCATGTGTACCGTGTATACGAGCCAGTTTCTCTTAGAAAGTCCTCCACGAAGGCATCTCTCCCCTTAGGCAGATAGTCCTCGTGTGCTTTGCTATAACTCAACACACCACCTTTCAGTCTTAAATTCACCCACGCTTTCCTGCCAGAATCCTAATGAGATAGCGCGTGTGTATTCAAATTGAGGGAGCAAAAAGTGCTATTTGAGTGAAGGTTTTGAAAGTGATTTTAGAGCGTGCTATGCCTGCTTTAGGGCCCCGTTGCTATTTTGAACTACTAGCGATTTGATTTTGCAGCGTTGTGTGCCTCTAGTCATTAGGCTTTTTTCCGCCAGCATTTACGAGTCAGAGCCTTACTGCAAGTTAAATTATAATATGAGCAATTAGGCTAGTTTAATTACATTTTATTTTAAGTTGAACATTACCTGTCTGCGTTAAACCAGAAGTGTTGCTTTTATGTCAGCCCAAGTGGGGCCATCTCTTCAACAATATGTGATTGAATAAAGAGCCCTTTACACCCTTCATATGACTTTTCTGATGTGTTAAGACGAGATTATTCCTCATACACTCTTTTTAGAGCTCGTTAGTTTGTTTCCTAAGAGAGCGAGAATCTATAAGTGAAAGAAAAATTTCAAAGTGAAAAACTTGCTTGTTTTTGTAAAACGTAACGAATTTTAAGATTCCACACGTTATTAACAATATACAATTTCTGTACGAGAATATGTCGCAGAACTAAGTCAGAAAACGTCTACGTTTTGTCAGAACTGGCATTTTGATAAATGAAATAGAAACTATTAAACGCTACCTCAAAAGATTTAAAAGTAATTTATGCGATAAGTTAATCATTTTCATAATATATAAAATTACTCAATGAATAAATTATACATTCCGACATAATAAAATGAAAATGAATTTAAACAAAATATAGCTTCAAGGATAAAAACGAATATATATTCATTATTCAATAAAATGAATACACATTCATTGCCTGCATTTCTGTGTATCACATATTTTTAATTGTTCAAAGGCATATGTTTATAAGGTATTCTCATTTCTGAATATACTTTATTAATTCATTTGCTTTGCGGATTATAAATAACATGAATCTTGAAGGATTGTGATGGTGTGTTGGTGTATTTAATTATGGCAAAGCACACTAGGGCTATCTGCCTAAGGGGAGGGATGCCTTCGTGGAGGACTTTTTAAGGGAAACTGGCTCGTATACACGCTTGAAGGATTGTGAAAAGAGAAGAAAGATAGTTTTTATTAAAGTATAATATAACCTGAATATTTATTTAGGACATAATCTCCAATTCACGCTTCAAAACTAGATATGTTAAAGTCAAGTTATAGAAAGTTTTTTTATAAGATCAATGGCAGTGTAGAAGACCAAAGACTAATACGCAGAAAAATACCCTTCAGACTATTTTGAACTTATCATTAATAACTCTAAAATAACAGTAATAATATAAAGTGCAATGTTATGTAGGAAGTTTGATTTAAACTTTACACCTTATCTCTGTTTTTGCTTCTTTTCCGTACTTTTTATTTTGTCCATCTATCATTCTAACGGTTTTCGATGATTTGAAAAATATAAAGAATGCGGCAATGTTTTCAATAATATACGTAGGCTGTTCCCAAAGTTCTATAAATTGAACTTTGAGAATTGAGTTCAATTCCTAGAACTTACAGTCAACGCTATCCGCCAGAGATGGATATTATGTTTATGCAGCTATCCTGTGCAATGTTCTTTAGACCTGTTCAATTGGTTGACTGATACAAAAGCAATTTTGTAGCACTGTCTTGCAACCATGGGAGATGCGAAGAGCAATCCTTTTCTTTTTCGGAAAGAGTTCGTGAAAACTTCAGAAATTGTCCGACATTCGAGAGGAGTATTCAATTCCGACGCTTTTGTTCTGGAATATTTTCGCATATTTATGATGTGATCAATTTTAGAATTTAACCAAACCATATATTGGTGTATTGAGGAGACACTAAGAAAGTTGTTTGAGGACGGTTTAAAAAATTAATTTTTTATTGGGATATGTGTATTCATCTAAATAAGAGTTATGTTGATAAACTACATTGTAAAATTGCCGAAATATGACAAAATAAGTAATTTATACCTAAATTCCTTTAACTCTGGAAACATTACTCGTATATAGAATTAATTCATAATAATTAGTACAAAACTTACTGATAGATAGATAATTCACTAATAAAACTAACTGATAGGTAACCTGACTAATAATTTTTCAACGTAGTATCATATTCATATCAAATTCTAGATAAAAATTTCAAATAACTCTTCCATGCTTACCCCAGCCGATGAAATAAAACATGTAGAGAGATTTCTGCTCTGCGAAAGCTGCAGCTATGAGCTTGTGAAGGTAGAAACCCTCGCAAAACATCCACATGTACGTTGTCATGCGGGAATATTTAGTTAGTATGTAAAGCACTCGGCAACCAACCTACAAAAATAAATAAAAAACTAAATTTATTATTCATTCATTCTTACCGATTAAAAAGCATTTCACTCGCATATTTTATTATAATTTCTTGTCGTGCTTGCTTTTCTAGCTGAACAAAAAAGTCTGCTCCGAATTCTGAAAAGCTTTAAGAATAAAATATGTACAAATAATTAACCCAAGCGGCCAAGCTTTTCCCAGCAAAATTCCAAATTCCCAAATCTACCATGAGAAAGAAATATTTTCTTAAATATGATACTTAAATATATGATACTTAAATTTCTTAAATATGATACTTAAATTTCTTAAATATGATACTTAATTTGATGCTTAAATTAACTTCTCTAATTCTTAAATATGATACTTATATGATACTTATATATTTAATAAATAAAAATATGATGCTAAATGATACTTAACTTATAATAGTCTAAGTATAAATACTCTTTATACTTATAAGTACTTTACATACTTTATACTAATATATTATAAATACCCTTTATACTTAGACTTTTTCTTTTAATATACAACCTTATTTTATTGTTCATATTTCAAGATGTTCATGTATACTTACTTAAGATATTACAAAAAGGTTCTTTATTTTGGAATTTATTATGATGAAATTTTCGAATTACTTAATTCTAAGTAAGAAATTCGCTTAGTTTTCTATAAGGGGGCTTTAGGGGTAGGATAATCGAATCCTCGAATCCGAAGAATTTTGGAAATGAAATGAGATTCAAATACATGAATATTCCCTTTTTTATCATTTAAATCTATCGAATCGCAAACTAAGCACTACTGAACATTTGAACTTAAAATATGGAAGGCATCAGTAGCTTCGGACGAAACAGAAGCTTTCATTAAAATACGAACGCAATTGATGCAATTTTAAGGGATCTTAAGCACTTTTATTTGAACTCAGAAAAGAATTTAGCATTCATATGTTTAATATTTATATACGTTAATTTTTTGAATAATAGCCTCCTCTCTACACTTATATTGATTTTAAAACATTCAAGGAAATATTTTAAAAAGTCAGCTATTACTCAGATATTATTTTTGGCAAATTATACTGAAAAACAAACGTCTCAATATTTAAAAATTTTAATTCAATAAAGTGCATTCAACAAGTGCATGTTTCAAGTTGTTATCTATTGTAGTGGATACAGGCAACATGTTTCAGAACATTATATATTGCGTTAGAAACAGGCATGATGTTCCCACGTTACAAATCATTTTTATAAACATGACCTGTTTACATCAATGTTTACTATCAGAATTAAGTTAGAACTAAAACATTATTTACAAAGCTTACATTTACAACAACAACAATTTAGGCTTCCCTGCCCGTGAACTACATCACACTACAGGTCTACTCCCCCTTTGGGCACGTCGTGGAGGTTCAACCTCCACTATTACCCTCCAGAGGAGCAGCGCACCATCTGGAATTCACCAGGCAGCACCGGTCGTCTAAAGCTCCTACCAGTCGCATGGGCGAGCCCGTCGCAGCGGGCCGTTACCCAGCAAACCGGGGGGAACCAAGCCCTCCGGCTACGGTTCCACACCGATCAGGACATGCCAGTCCCCGAGGCCGGCCAATAAATGTCCTTTCCCAGGGGCTTCAGAACCACCAAGTTCATAAATTTTATCCCCGTGGCCGAGACTGCCTAGGTACAGATCCTAGCCAGTAGTTTCGCAGAGTTCTCTACGTCGACCCCCGGCGGGGGAAAGCTTTTGAGCACTGCTGTACAATTGTGCTGGAACTTTAGTAGCTCAGTTTTGAAAATTCGTATTTTTTGTGATAACTGATTTTCAGAAATTGCATTATATCAATCAGTACGTTGTTATTCACATGTAAAGATTGATCATGACATTATAAACTGCAGGGGCTAGAAGCAACTTATTTCTAGTTTATATATCATGTTTATAATCATGACTTGCTTACATCAGTATTTACCATCAGCAGTCAAAGTTAGAAAAGAATATCAAATAATAGTGAAAAGGATATAAATAAATAAGTTTGAAAACAGAAGAAAAGAAATAGCTTCATCTGCATACTTATGCGTACTACGTACTTTTAGATATAGCTGATAAATTGCCAACTTATTTGTATGCAATTCCGTGTGTTTTCTGAAACACACAACAACTAGTTCGAAAGCACATTTTTCATCCCACATAATCATGGGAATAACACGCAGGCCACAACTTTACATAGAATATCACATTTTTAATAACGGCTGTTAGTAGTAAGATAAAGCACAAGCAAAATGAAATAAGCGTCCAAGCGCCAACAGACCGGCAAGCTAACTGCGCATCTATACAGTCTGGCAGTCTGTTAAGAGAAAGGTTTTGGTTTAGGTTAGAAAAGTTTCAGTTCCCAAGAGTCACGTTGCGCAAACTATGCAAGATGAAATTATCTAGAAATGACGCAACACAGAGAAATTTTTACTATTTTTAGAATAGAGAGGGAGAATTAAAGGGTTACAAATAGTTTAAAATATAATTTTGGTTTTCATATTTTTATCTTACACACACACACACACACACACACACACACATATATATATATCGTGTTGAGATGAAAATTTTTTAACTGCTTGGCCAATAATTTGATGTGAAAAATACTGTGATCAGTAGCTCTTAGGAAAATAAGTTCTTAATCAAAAGCTTATTTGTCAGAGCAAACACCAAAAGAAAGGAAAACATGAGTCGGCACTTGTTTAGTGGGATAAGAAGATTTGAAATGCGGATGAAATTTTAGGATGCACAGCGGAAATGAAGTTAGATATTTATGTGTCGTCAGGACGTCGTGGAAGGAAAAACGAGGTCCTGTTTGTTTATACTTGGCCTTTTTTTTCTGCAGATGAAGAAGTTATTTTTCGAAATCATATCTGCAAATTTATACGGACGCTACGCTGGTTCTTGTTGCTATAGCATCTTTAGCATTTCTCTAAGGTATTTTTTTGTAAAGATATAATTAGGCGGTTAATTAAGCTTAACTTACGTAAGATTTTTTCATTAGTCCTCAATTCTATTCTTATATAAAGAAGAGAGATTTTGGATGAAAAATTTGCTAGGAATTAGGATACCTTTAACAATTTAGATTCAAGAAATTTTAAGAAATCGTACCATCTTAATGTTTCTCGAATTTGAATCCCTTTCACTCATTCTTTTTATTTATTTTTAATTTAAATATATTCAGCATACACTCAGAAATGAAAAACAGCAATTAGAAATATTAAATGATTCTGTAATTGCCCATAAGGCTTACTGACAAAATAACAAGCTTATAAGATCAGCCACTTTTAAAACTGCTTCAATAACTTTTTGTCGAACACAACCGTTTGTAAAAGATTCAAGAAATATGATTTAAGTTTGTTTACAGAGAGAGAGGAACTTGTTTCCTGTTAAATGTCAAGATTATTTTTTATATTTGCGAGTCGATCGTTGCTTGTCTTAGGAATGAGTTTACTTTAGCAAGGGAGGGAACAAAATGTGTAAGTATCATTCACGCGTAAGCAATGGGTGATAATATGAGCTTTGATACATTCTGTAGAGATAAACTTACTTGACTTTATAAAATTTCCAACTAGTGAACACTTGGAAGATAAAACTATACATATACCTTTAATTTCATGTTAGACTTTAAATAAATATATATTTTTTTAATAACAATTTCTATAATATTCTAATTCTGAAAAATTTTAATTAAGCTAATACATATCGTATTTCATTAAAGATGATATTATGGGGCTGAGCAGTCATTTAAACAATTTGTAGTGACATTAGGTTATTTCGAAGCAGAAAACGTAAAAAATGAGCAATGCGCTCGCCGGGAAGCGAATCACGGACCTCTCGAATACGCGCCGAGCGTGCTAACCACTATACCACGAAGATATGCTAAGAAGGCGGGAGAAATACCTTATATACTCTCCCTTTTAAAGAGCAACTGAAGATTAGGGACCCAATCGCCAAATCTTCGTGGTGGAGAATCACCGTCCACCACCTTTTTTAGTTTGGGCGTCACTGTAGAGATATTGGAAACAAAAGACGTGAAAAATGACCAATGCCCTCAGCGAGAATCGAACCACGGACCTCTTGAATACACGCCGAGCGAGCTGACCATACACTGGAGAAAACATCCTAAGAATTCGGGAGAAATACCTTATAAATTTATGACTGCATTATTGCTTGTATTACAGTTCGAATGTAGTTTTGTTACTTAACAGAAGCATATTCATTTCTTCCTACTGTAGGAAAAGAAATTGCTTTTAAGACAGAGAATATAACAATATAAATTAGTGAATCTGACTGCATATGATATGCCCATCCATAGTTCAGTGCATAAAATAAGTAAAAATCTGTAGTCTTTCCCAAGTCCGGTAACTCGTAAACAAGCTCGGCTACATGAGTTTTCATGATTTTCTCCAAGAATAAACGTAAACCCAAGCTAGTTTCCCTTACAAAACGGTTTCTTCGAAGATATGTCTTGTACGGCAAATAGTTCCGCTTATTTTTTGACAATTAATTAATGAACTAGGCTGTCTGATAATATGGAGGCAAAAGAAAGTTTATAACAGAGATGAAGGCAAATGCCTGCCATCAAGCTGTGACTTAGTTGTAACGGCTGCCAGATTTAGCTGTTAGTCTACTATGCTGACTGAAAGCAAAGCGCATGCAGAACTATTGATTCCCCAGTTAACCTTTGCAAAATGAAATGTTTTCTCTAAAATAAGTATTTACACATTTTAATTGCATCGTTTTCATATATTTCAGTCGAAGCAATTCGTTAAAAAAACTTTGTCATCAGTTCATAGAATTCATTTCATCAGATTCTACTATTTTCTATGTTAAAGTTATATCTTAAGCTGATTTACAATTTTCTAAAGTTTAACAAAGATTTTATTAAACAATTTGAAAGTTGCCAAAGCCGAATAAGAGTGATGATTCGCTAAACTATCGAAAAATTCTTCGATGAGTTCGAAACAAGAAATGTTGAAAAG